AAATGCAAGAAAAAGCGATTGGAAATTCAGACCAACTCATCTCCAACCCAAGGTGATATGAATCAAGATCAAGGCCACCTGTCGGGAGCAGGACAAGTTCCACAGGAGGTCAGCTACCTGCAGAGCCCCGCGCCTGCCTGGCACTGGGCCTCCCCGCAAGTCCGAGACCCGCGTGTGCCCTGGGGCGTGGGGGGGGGCCGACCTGACGATCTCCACTCTGGTCGCACACTCCGACTGCTTTTCCTTCCACTGAGGCTCATCCCAGTCGAGTTCATAGAACACGACCACCAAGGCCGGCACGAGATTCAGGTGCTTATTCATCCAGCCGGTCTTCAGGATGCCTTTAGGGATGTACCACTCGTAGGACGCCCTCTGCAAAAAAAAAGGGGGGGCCAGAAGAGAAGACGGTCATTTGGTGACAACCCAGGAGAACTGCTCATGTGTGCTGGCCGCACTAAGTGACCCCTCACACCCGCCGTCCATTTTGGAGAGCAGAAGTTCGAGCTCACAGAGACCAAAGAGCCAGCCCCTGCCAGAAGGACTCAATGCCGGAGCCTGCGGCTGCCATCAAGGCAGCGCCAGGGCCCACGCACCTCAAACAGTGCCAGGGCTCTCGAATGCCCTAGATGCCAACAGCCCCTCTTCGTGCAGATTCTACTGGTGTTCCCTGCCATTCTAGTTTCTGTTCTTGTGACAGCTGTTCAAAGAAAATACCACTTAAGAGCGAAATGGAAGCTCTCCAAGTGCAGAGTAAGACAGAAAAGGGGGGTGGGCTGCGTGGGCCACTGGCACCCCTTCCCACGAATAGCACAATAAAAACCAAGCGCAGGGTAGGAGGGCAGGGCGGCCGCAGCTTCCAGAGACACATGATAGCTGTATCAAAGAGGGACTTGCTCTGAAACTGAGATGGTAACACAAGTGTTTTATAGCAGCAACTACTGTATCTCAAAAAAGCACTGTACGTGCAAGAAAGAGCAATTGGAAATTCAGACCAGACATCTCTCAGAAGCAATGCCCCAGACTCAAGAAACCCTGTGTGATATATTCTGATCTTTGTGTCTTATTAAATGACGCTCAGTTCAACCTTGTAAGATTTTAACAACCCACGTAACTTCCTTAAGGAAGCAAAGCAAGAGAGTCAGCACGACATGTGTACTAGCTATTACTGAGAGGGACATCGCTGTAATTATTATTTTTCCAGGTAGATCAGTCTTCACTGTGACTTTCACCCTGAAAGTTAGTTTTGAACTTCATGAATCTCATCCCACACTGAACAAACTGGGTTTAGGCGTGACTCCCCAAAGACAGAGAAGGTGCCTGACTTGCATTTCCACCAGCAGCCTGTGGCTCAGCTCCAGGACCCAGCACAGTGGCGCCCCCACCTGGCGTGACACAGAGCTGCAGGATGCTGTATCTTGACTCCGGGAATTGAGAAACGCTGTGGGCCTTCCGGGAGATGCACGCTTTTTTTTTTTTTTTTTTTAATGAGAACAGGAAAGCCTGGTTCCAAAAGACCCAGAACACTTCACATTTACAAACACAAACCACTACTGGGCTTGCCTGCAGGGTAGCACCGCTGGCAGCACCCAGGGGCTTCTCCCTATGTGACCCTCCGTGGGCGACCTCATGGCTTTTCCAACTTGGGCAACAGGAACAGAGGTATGGACACCCCTAGTAGGACACAGGGTGTGCGGGAGCCCCAGGCCGTCCCAGTGCCATTACCTTGGGTCTACATTTGGGATACTCGTGGTCGCCCGGGAGCACCTTGAAAGAAATCGGGACCCGGTCGGCCCGCCGATTGGCACAGAAAGCATCCCAGACAGCGCGGTGGACGGCATTGTAAACCACATCCAGGCCCGTGAGAGTGACGAACGCCATCGGCCGGCAGCATAGCTCCACAGGGAAGTCCCACTGGGTGGGACTCATGTTCAAGGCCGCACACGCCTTCTGAAATACAAACATAAATGCATTCACAATTAACTTTTTAAAAGGGCACACCCATATCTAATGTACGAACCCCCACCGTTTAAAAACACAGAACAAAAAGGGCAAAGGCTTTTGAGTATCTGCAAGCTGCTGAGCAAATGCAGAAGAGAGCAAAAGAGAAAACGTCCATTTCTGCAAATGAGCCTATTAAAAGAACTAAGTTTTGGAATTTATATTTTCAATCTTCCCTATTACCAAAGGCTGTAGTCAAATTGAATACAAACCTACGCTTTCAATAACATCTCAAAATGCACACAGAACTTCGCTTTTGGAGTGAGCAGGCCAAGAAAGCAGGAAGGTTAAAAAAAAAAAAATTAAGAGGTCTCCTGATCTAAATAGAGAAATAATTATTGCCTCACATACACAATAAAGGTCAACCCCCTCTCCTTTCTCTGTAATTACTAATATCCAACTTCCCAATTCTTGGAACACTGGTAGAGGACCACACCAAACAGGTCTTCCCAACTCGCCATTACCACTGGCAAGAGCTGCTCACAGGAGCGTTGTGAGGGAGGCACTAACAATGAGCAGACCCCAGGAGGACTGTGTCTCCTGTGTACAGCAGCCAGAACTCTGCCTGTGATAATGCCAAGTCCGTGCCAAGTTTGGAGATCAAACATAAACATAAGCATTTGCTTCAAAGAAAGTTCTATTTTCAAAATGTTCTTATTTCCAAAAACATGTACAGTAAAAGGAGGTTCCCTCGAAGGTGCTCTCTAACAGCACAGTCACACAAGGCTTAAATCGTTTTGGTCAACATTGGACCACACAGAAAGCAGGGGTGCCCATGGGCGACACCACAGTGAAGCATGAGGGGCTACACCGCTTCAGTCTGCGTAAGACGCTCCTTGGTGCTGACACAACACTGGAGTCTCCGGAGACGCCTTCCTCAGAAAGCTCCCTGTCCGGAAGTCACCGAGACTGATGACAGTCAAGGCTATCGGGACTCGAATACAATTCTGGCGGAAGGTAAGGAACACGAGGCCACCACTTATCACCCTGAGTGTTCGTAACTGAAAATTTAATGGAGAAAAGAGTACTAGACCAAGTTAAATACCAACAGAATTAATAAATAATGCGGAAAGCTTACCCGTTATGATGTGTGCCTATTAAGGTTTAGTACTGGCTAAACAGACATGTGGGGGACAGGGTCAAGCTGGGAGTGGCAAAGGAATTCATAGTCAGAGAAACATGTTCTAGTCTGAGGGAGCTTTGGGGATGAAAACAGACTAAATGCAATGTGGTTATCTAGGTTAGAGCTCCTCTCCTAAGGGCCCCTATCAATAGAAAAGCTTCTTGAAGGCTCCAAATCACAGCGCTGTCCAAGAGAACTATACAAGCCACCTAAGTAACTGGAAACTTTCCAGAACCACATTAAAAAGTAAAAAATAATTAATTTTAATAATGTATGAAAATAATTTTCACATTATAGTTTCTAAATGTCCAAAGTAATGTTTTAGTGGATAGTCATACATTACCTCGTACTGCAAAAGTTATTCGCAAGGAATTTTATTTTTTCTGTATAAGACCTCAAAATCTGGAGTACATTGTGCACTCACAGCACATCTCAATTTCATGTGCACCATAGCCACATACACAACTGCAAAGGTCAAGAGGGTGCTAAAATGCTGTAAATCTGTCCCCAAAATCACTGTTATTGCTATCAGGGCCATCCCTGGCGGTGCAACGGATTAAAGCACAGCACTAAGAAGCCTAAAGCCACTGCAGCACGAGTTCGATCCCTGCCCCAGAGGTGACCACATGGTGCAGCACACCTCTCCTGACCTGCCTGCTGCTCCCCTCAGTCGTGTACTTGGTCAATCTACCTGTTCTGCTCCCCACTCTGTCTCTGGTGAATCCTCTCACTCCCATGCACCTCTGGCCTGTACCCCAGTTCTATATGCATAAATAAATATTTTTAAAATTGCTATCGGCACGTTCCACCTTAAAAGCTTGGGCACAAGGTGGTACTTGTTCTGTAGCAAAGGGATGAAACTGGATGAGCAGCCACTAGGCGAAAGTGCAGAGAAGGTCTGCATCTCAGTGACAGCCTGCAGAAAAACTTCCAGATCTCCCGGAAGAAGTCAATAAAATCGCTAACCAACCTATGGCAGGGAAGGAGACGAAGGGGCACTGAGTGGGCTGGGAGATCACATAATGCAAGGGAAGAACCTGAAGGCTGGCATGCAACACAAAGGCGATTCTTGGAAGGATGAAATACTGCAAAGGTGACCTAACCACCTAAGCGCCGGGTAAAATTACGTGGTCACTTTGCTTCACTCAACGGAGGTTCCGGGCTCAGGTCGCGACACAGCTGAGGATGAGATTCAGAGGTGCCCAACTGCAAACTGATCAAGGGGATGGCCAGCTTGGGGCCGGGGGAGGAGGAGCCAGGTGCCGAGGAGGTGAAGCTCGAGCCCACCCGGAGATGCTACCTGCCCCAGGGTCGCAGATTTCTGCCCTGGCAGTTCCAAGGACGAGCTGCAGAGAAATAACGCTACCGTCCTCCTCTCCCCCCACCGCCCCCCGGTACCTGGGAGGCCCTAGCGCAGGTGCGTCTTTTCCTCCGGGGCTACAGGGAGGGGCCAGGCCGGCTCGCCCCGCCGACGCCGAGAAAGCGCAGGCCTGCAAAGGCAGCAGAGTGAGCGGCCAGCGCTCCGGCCCGACTCCCCGCGGCCGCACGCCCCGGGCCGCTGCAGCTGTGGCGGCCGCGCGAGCGGGAGGGCCGAGGGAAAACGGCGGGGGTGTCACCGCGCCCCGGGCCCGCGCCTACCGCCACCGCCCCGCCGGGTTCCAGCCAGCAAGACTTCCCGGTCCCACCTGCGCACGCACAGGAAGCACTTTCCGGGCCTGAGTGACAGCTCCGTACACCAACCGCCGCCCCGGAACTCGGCGCGGCTCCACCCAACGTCAGAAGGACGCGCCATCTCCTAGAGGAGAAGGGGTCGGGGGCGGGGAGAGCAGGAGCCAATAGGAGAGGCGGGGAGGGGAGGAGGCGGGGCCTGCGCCGACCGCCTGCCGCCGCTCCCCGGACACCCCGGCACCCCACCTGCCCCGGCCCGGGCTCCTGCCCGCTGCTCCCTGGGGCAGCGCGCGTGACTCGCGCCGGCAGCGCCCAGGGGTGCCCCCGGCTGCCGAGGGCGCGGAAGGGGGACGCCCCCCCCGCGGGGCCCCTATCCTCGCTTTCTCTTGGTCGCCGCGAACGCCGCCCGTCCGGTGGCGCCCCGCCACCCGCGCCATGGGCGCCAACGAGGACCAGGAGGTGAGTCCCGGGGCTGGACGCCCTTCCCCGCGTAGGCGCCGAGCCCTCGCCCTGGGGCGGGAGCCGCCCCCCGGGAGCTCGGGGGGCGCCCCGCGGTGCCCTCGCGCTGCCGCCCACACAGCGTGGCCGGGGAGCCCCCCAGTTCCCCGGTGTCGGGTGTAAGTGGGGAGGGGCCCACCTCTGCCTCCCTCTCCCGCATTTTCCCTTCTTGCACGCCCCGGGGTCGCCCCGAAGCCCATCTTCGGAAGGAGTCCGTGTCCCTGGGACCCCACCCCCACCCCACCCCCGGGTGCGCGGGGCTCGCCCTCCATCTTCCATCTCCGTGTGGCGTTTTCCGCGCTTGCAAGGTTGACTGGAATGTGATTGCCCCCAAACGTACAACCTACTGGTAGGTAGATACAGGGTTAACGGAGCTATTTAAATTCCTGGTGGGAGAACGCTGTGACGCCGTGTCCCGGGTTTCTGGCCACGTTGTCTTGGTGGCGGGGTGGGCAGGGTGACCTGTGTTGGGCGCCTCGGTGCGTCCTCGCAAAGGCTGCTTTATGGCGCGTCCTGGGCCGCGAGAGGTGGGTGGCAAGGCTGCAGGTCATCTGGAGGGCACCTTCTGATGGTGCGATGTGTGCAGAGGAGGGGCTGGGGTCTCCCCAGGTGCAATGCTTCTCTGGGGCTGCCGGTGAGAACAGCTGGGCTGGAGGGGAGTCCCCCGATAGGTGGTTAGCAGCCCACCGCTCACATAGTGCTCGAAAGGCGCACTATGCCGTGACATGTCACAGGACCTCTGCTTGGAAGTGACCCTGAAGGCATCCAAAGGCCAGTGGGCGACTGTGGCTGTTGCTTGACTCCCTTTGAAAACATCCTTGACAGAGGAGTTTCCTCGCCAAGCTCGAGGTGCAGTGGACCTGGAGTTTGACCCCTGGACGACCCCTGGGAACCCTTTGGGTAGTTGTCTGAAAACTGGATTCTGCGCACACCTCAGATTTACTGAGCGACTCCCCAGAACAACAAAACGCCATTCTTCTTTCACGATGGAGTCTCACCTGCACGGTGACAGTTTTCTTGCCCGGCCTGGAAGCCTCTCGTCAGGCTAAGGGATTTCCTTTCTGCCTCTCTCCGCACGCGCGCACACCATCACACCGCCCCTTTTAGTCCCTTCCTCTCCTGGGATCATGTGTCTGGACAGATGATGACTTTGCCTCCTGGCTTGGAGCTCGGCTGCCCGAGTCTGCAGTTAGACATACTGCCCACTAGAGCCCTCTGCGAGCCTCCTCCACAGCCACTCGGCTTCACCCTCGCTTGTATTCAGGCATCGAAGCACAAGTTCATTTACTTACCTTGTTCAGTTTCATCTGGGGAGACTCTTTTTCAAGGACTTGGCGAATGCTTTGTTGTCCGCCACTGACACAAATCACAGTGCCCTCAGATTGCCGTGCACAGATCTGATAAGCCTGCCTGCGGCCTGTGTTCCTGCCACGGCACTTGGAGGTGGGGAAGGGTAAGGACGCAAGGGCTGAAGCTGCCCTTTGAGTGAGGTGGTTTCTTCCGGTCTCATCTCAGTTTGAAGTCCTCGATTTTTTTTCCTGTGAAGAAAGTAAAGGAAATCTGGTCCTGCAGATGGGGGGCGGTGCACAGCTCTTGCTTCCCATGTGCCGGCTCCCAGACCCTCACACGCGACTTCTTTAAGCTGCTCAGACACTGGTCCAGCCAGACCAGATTCGCCCCCATCTTCAGTGTGTAGAATTCGTGATCTACATCTTTCGAAAACAAAAATTTGCAACCACGAGGATTCGCTGCTTCTCTTCTCAGGCGCAGGGATTGCGTCTTGGCTGTGAGCCAGTGTTCTGAGAAACAGTTCCGGGCAAAGTGTCCCAGTCACGTTCTCACTTGCTATCCTTTTCCCCATCACGGGTGGATCCTGTCAGTCTTATCTCTAAAAGTTTGTTTTATTGTTGTTAAGTATTTTTTTCGAGTTTTGTATCATTCTGTGGGAAGGTGCAGAAATATAAATAATATACGTAGCTAATGAGGAATTACTGTGCTTAGTGGTCATAGTTGTATGGGCTTGATCAGATATCCAAGGCTCTCTTTCTCTACATTTATTTATCCACTAAATAATTTATATCTTTGATTCCTTTCTTTCAGATGGAACTAGAAGCATTACGTTCAATTTATGAAGGAGATGAAAGTTTCCGGGAATTAAGTCCAGTTTCATTTCAATATAGGGTAAGACCTGGCGTGAATAGAAGAACTAACAACTTTGCTAGAAAGAAATGACTGAAGACTATATTGAAAATCTGATTTTGTTTTTTAAATTTAGTAGTTTCACAGTATGTTACATATTTGAACTTAAAGGAAAATTCAAATCCTTATGATATCAGTAGTTTTAAACAATTGAAAATTTAATGACTTCTTTTATAGCCAAGATGAACTTGTTCTTAGTGTAATAAAATCATAAAATGTTGGAAATGGAAAACATCTTAGAAATTACAGGACTTTATGTTCAAAATCACATCTCTCAGTCATCATTTCCTTTCAGTGCCTAAGATCCACAGCTGATACTGATAAATTCTGAGATTAAAATTCAAATCTAGTGTTCCTTTTACTACCTTATGACGTATGTAAGCGAAGTTTATACTTTCTTAGTTCTTGTTAACCGTGTGACTATTCTATTCAAATGTGAAGTAGTTTTTCTTTAAGTGAATATTGCCCATAACTCTTATCTTCAACATGAAACCGGACTAGTGTTCTATTTCATAGATACATATTAGACACCATTTGTCTAAATGCTCACAAGCGGTAATGGCGTGGAGAAGTGTCCATAAAAGGCGGTTTCGGTTATTAGCAGCCTCACCACTTAGAACAAACTCTGTGACAAATGCTCCTCACTCGTGACTGTCACGGACTGTCCTGGAAAATAACCGCCGGGCAGTTTCTTCGTGCAGTGCTCTCCCGCCTGCTCAGCTCGTCAGCACCGCCATTTATCTGCAAGCCGGAGCACCAACGGCCAAAGCTAATGACGGGGTTGAGTGTAGACGCTTCTCTTTGACGCTAGCTGTGTCCCCACACTGCGCTGCCCGCTGCCTGCCCGGGCCGTGGACACTGCGGAGGCCCTCCATCTTCTGGTCATGTCGCAGTGGCCAGTACTGAGCCCAGAGGAGGACTCGTGCCCACCCCGCGGGGTGGGGCCCAGCAGGGGGCTGTCAGGGGCTGGGCTGTGAGGGGGAGCGCAGAGGACTTGGGGCCAGCGCTGTGTGTGTCCTGGTGCAGACTGGCTGAGCAGCCCCGAGGGACGCCGCTTTCCCTTGCCCCTTCAGCTGTCCCCCTGCACTTTACCCGCCGTCCACCAGCAGGCTGCCACTCGCCCCATTCCCATCGGCAGTTTCTCCACAGGTTCCTCGTGCTGAGACCCGGGCCTGGCCTGTGCAGCGCCCCGACCCACGCCCACCTGCGCCCAAGCAGCGGGTCCCAATCTGGGGACAGCATACAAGACACTGGCCTTGATGCTTTGAGTCATAAAAGGCATTTCAGAGGCAGGGGAAGGGGCTAGGGACTGCTCTAATCAAACAGAACAGAGAAACTTTCTTAAGAGAATAGAAATTAAGTTACATTTGACCCTCGCCTTCTCCTTTTGTCTCAGTTTCACGAGTTGGGGTCTCTTGGGGTCAAGCGTGCTGATCTACCTTTGCTCTTACTGTCCCATGACTTCACAGTGGGAGACCCCGACAGAGGTGAAGCGTTTTGGATTGAAGGAGGGGTTGGCCAATTCCCCCTGCCCCCACGGTTCCTGTGGCGGGTCCTCAGAAGCCCAGGCACAGTCTTAGGCGGCGTCCGGGTGCTGCCGGAGCTGGCGGGCTGCTGGGAGAGAGGCCGCAGGCACAGCCTAAGGCTGTTAAAACCGACTAGCGCGAGATGCAGTTTGGATCTTAATGTAGCCGCCCCCGCGAGTCCTAGCTGTACCCTAACTTTTCAAAGTACTGCGCTGCCGATCTGAGCACGAGGACTGGGAGGAATTCACTCGTCTCCAGTGGCAATGTAATGTTCTGCCTTTGAATCACTTCGTACAAGCCTAAGGTTCCCCTTTTCTTCAGATAGGTGAAAATGGGGATCCCAAGGCCTTCCTCATAGAGATTTCCTGGACAGAGACGTACCCGCAGACGCCTCCGATTATATCCATGAACGCTTTCTTTAACAACACCATGTGAGTAGTTTCGCTGCCGCCCTTGTGTGTTTAGGGCTTTCGCTGTGTCTTAGTCAATTTCTCGCGCTGTGCAGATCGTCCGCTGTCAAGCAGAGCATATTAGCCAAGTTGCAGGAGGCCGTGGAGGTGAACCTGGGGACGGCCATGACCTACACGTTATTTGAATATGCCAAGGACAACAAGGAGCAGTTCATGGAGCATCACCAGCCCGTTCATTCTGCCGTGAGTGCGGGCTGCTTTCTGCCGTCTGCTTGTTTGCTGCTGGAGGGGAGCTGGGGGGAGGTTTACCCTACTAGTAATTAATTTCTGCTAGGAAACTAAATGGAAGATTCTGTGATAGGTTACAGTAAGTTACATGTGAGTGAGAGAATTTTGAATTGTGGAGCATTTAGTTTTGATTTAGCTTGAAAACCAAATTATATTCTCGAAGTGTTTAGCCTTCGTGCAAGATAGGAATACTTTCTGTACTCGCCAAGACTGAGACTCTGTAGAATCAGACAGTTTTCCCAAACTTACGTCATCTCTTCTTAAAGCTCAGGTCGCGCCGAGACCTGCAGGAAGTGACTGTCCCCGAGCCTGCACGGTCCCAGGTGCAGGTGTCAGCTCAGTCCCTCTGTCAGACCCAGCTTGGGGGCAGTGATTGCCCACCCCACGCAGCCCACTGACCCCAGGTGGGTGTCCAGCGAGTCGGCTCACTTGTGACACTGTCCATCTGGACGGCGCCGCAGAGCCCACAGTGCAGGGTCCAGTGCCACAAGGCTGCTGCCCCGTGTAGACCACCTCAGTCACACAGCAGGCTGTTCCCTGTGCTGCTGACCAGCTGACAGGGCCACGGCCCCACGGCCCTCCCTGGTGGATTCACTTGTCGTGCGGCCCAGACTTCAGGAGAGCCTGGGGCCCACTCTGCTGCTGGCCCTCACTCTGGGCAGCAGGCAGCACAGGCGCAGGCCAGGGAGCGGGAGGGCCGTGCCCCCAGGCTCCATGAGCTCCCAGCACTGCGTGCCTGCTGGCCAGGACGTCCAGCCGCTGCCCAGGAGGGATGCCCCTGGCAGCTGGCCCCATCCTGGGGACCAGACCTTGACTGCTCTCTTCACTGAGGAAATTCCAGAGGCTGCAGGAGTTGTGCCAGGACCTGAAGGGAGGCCGAGCCCAGGCTGGTTACTGTAGTGCGTATAGCAAACAGTGAAGGATGCTGTTAAATTTTAAAAAAAAAATTGTACCTAGAATTATTTTCGGAAATAGTCATCTTCTGTGATCACAAGCATCTTCCCTGTGGAGGCCTATGCAGCGCATCTCATGCCCCCGTCTGGCGCTCGGTGTGGAAGGGTCATGAAGCTTAGGACGGCACAGCCCGCCTCCCCCTGCGCTGCCGAGGCGCCTGGAGGGTTGCGGCTCCGCTCAGGGACCGTGGGCCGGACCCGGCGCCCATCTCGCCTGCCCTTACGCTGCCTTTCACCAAGGTGAATGCGCCAGCTCAGTCCCCGGCTCCGCAACGGGTTAACGTGGCGTCTGCCTTATAAGATGGCAGTGGAGACCCGAGCAAGTAGTAGACACACCGCGCTGGCAGAATGTGTGGCTCCTGGCAGGCACGTGAAATCTGCTGCCCAGGGTCCCCTGAACCCAAGTGTTTGAAAGGTTTCTGTTTCCACATCTTAGCAGAGGAGCTGGACTGTAAGGTTGTCGTGGCCTGCCCAGGCTGCAGCGTGAGGCAGGTGTCCGGCCCTCTTTCCTGGGGCCAGCTCCCGGCCGTTGCACGGATTCTGGGTCCTCTGAGCTTGCAGTTCAGGCTCGGGTTCACAATTCAGTCAGCAGGTGAAGAAAACAGCCCCATCGTCACACTCCCAGGACAGACAGGCAAGGAGACCGGGCTGGGTGCTGCTTCTGGCCATCCAGGTCCCTTGACATTGGGAAGCGTGAGACCAGTGATGCGCTGGACCCGTGAGTGAATACTAACAATACAGGGTAGTTTCAGTTAGCACAGGCAAGAGTTACAGCTCTTTTCAGAACATAGCCACGGTAGTGTACCCCAGTACGTTCTGAGGCATGAGTCTAACAATTCTTTTTTTTCTAGACACCCATAAGCAATATCATCTCAGTTGAGACTCCTGCCACAGCCCCATCAAGTAAGAAAAAGGACAAAAAAGAACAACTTTCCAAGGCCCAGAAACGGAAGCTAGCGGATAAGACAGGTTTGTGTCTGTTTCCCTTCGGAATACAGATGTGCTGCTTCCCCGTGTGGTGGGGCGTGGCGAGCAGATTTAGAAGATTAGTTCTTTATGCTTGAAACATATTTTGGGCTCTGCTGTCAAAGCAGGCATGAGGTGTAAACTGCTGGGCCAGTAAACTTACAGCCTTTACAGTCTGTTTTCTAGAATTTTGGGGAATCTTTTTGGGGTGTTGGGAGCATCTGTTTCCGTTAGCTTGTTACCTGTTGCTTTCATTGTAACACCCTCTGGTCACCCCCTTTCATCAGTGACCCCACCTCCTGGACAGTGCCCCTTGATGAGTTGAGCTAGGCCCATGTGGGGGGCGTGGAGGCACCTGAAATGCTTCTCACGCACCCCGGGCAGTCATGCTTTCAGCTCACAAGGACAATAAACTGTTCCTAGCTTAAAAGTACTCCATTTATATTGTTAGTCTTTGTTGCACAGAATAGTACAGAAGAATCGTATTGATTTTAAGCGACCGGTCTTAGCAATAAAGGCGCTGTCTGTCTCCTCTAGATCACAAAGGCGAGCTTCCTCGAGGCTGGAACTGGGTTGACGTGGTGAAGGTATGTCCTGTTGTGTCCTGTTTATGTCCCGCTGTCAAAACTGTTAGAGCCATTGCTGCCAGACACTGACTCTGTCTTCTTTCCTCCCCACCAACCTCTGGATTTCCGGGACTCTCCGTCCTCTGCCACTCAGCATGTGAGTATTCCTGACACATCCCCGTGTCCTTCTCTTCCCAGCGCCCTCAGTTCTAGATTTGCCTTTTGTAAACAGCGGGAAACCTGCAGAAGCAGCTGTACTCAAATAGAGGATGACTGTTTCTGTAGCGCATCTTGGAAATGGATGAGCGTGAGTGCAGCTGCTCTGGTGACTCTCGGGGACTGAGTGCAAGTCATGGAGAGGGAAACTTGACTTGATTTCTCGGCTGCAGTACTGTGGGCGTTAGGCAGACCCGTGCAGTTTCCCGGCACCACGAAGGGTCTCTTCCTGGTTTGCTTGTTCTAACTTGTTTACTTTCCATTTTGAAGGGGTTTTTGTTGGCTTTGGCTGACTTCTCTTTTTCTCACACGGTCTGTAGTTCCAGCTGTATTAAGCTGATACGTAGCACAATGAGTTAATGCCCCGGGTAGGGCTTGCCCAGGCGCGTGTTGGCTGCCGGGAGAAGCAGTTGGCGTGGCCCGAGGCCAGTCGGCAAGCAGGACGTCAGTGGGGCTGCAGGCGTGTTTACTCACTCATGTTCTTTCCATTTATTTTACCTTAAAGTCAGCTGTCTGGGCCCTGAAGCACTTTTTCTACAGACACTATTTAAGATAATCTCGTCCCTCTAGAATCAGTGCAAAACATAGCACTTAGGAATGGGGAGCCATGAGCTGCAATGGAAAAAGAACTCACCTTCCTGGGCACCAGTTGGTCCTGTCCGAGGTCTCTGTGTGGAGGAAGCTTCCCGGGTTCACATCCAGGGCAGGACCCGGGGGGCCTGACGTGCCGCCGCTTCTCACGGCCACGCGCACGCCTGGGCCTCACCTGGGAGGTCTGTTCTTCAGACACTCGCTCCAGGACGGGCCGTGCGCGTCTTGCTGTGGGCGCAGAAGCTGTTTTCTTAAGATAGCCCCTGCTAATATAAGTCAAGATTTCAGGCTGCAAAGGAAAGTTACATTTAAATAATCCAGTTAATGTTGGGACCTTTTTAAGACAGCAGCCCCACAGAGGCATTAACCCGAAGCCGATGTCCTTCAAAGACCCAGAAACCCAGAATGTGGGGACCTGTGAGAAGCAAACGCTGCTCAGGAAAGCCATTTCCAGGTGTGGTGTGGGGGCCCTCAGCGAGCCCAGACACCCCTCAGCGGATCTGCAGCATTGCAGCCGCGCGCATTCTCCAAAATCTAACAGCGATGCGAGGGAAAAAACTTCACCAAAAAGTAAACTCTCAAACCCCACAGAACTGTTTGCAGTGGGTGGTAAGGCCTCCTTCGCTTGGACACGCGTCCTCCCGGGCGGGCACGCGCCGGCCGCAGGGAGCGTCAAGTGTCCCGTCTCGGCCGGGAGAATGTGCTCCCCGGGCTGTCCGGAGGCCTGCGCGGGCTCCGGACCGCGTGTGTGCAGCTCCTGTCCCCGCTTGCTCTGAGCTCTTGCGCTGTGCCTGGACGCCGTCCCCTCACCCTGCCTGGCCACAGGACACTGGGGGGACCCGCTGTCTTCTGCCGGGCTGCACGAATACGACTGTTCCCGTCAGACTTTGTTTCTTTCAGGAAATGTGGGTCTCTTTCACTTCAGAGCGGTCATTGATTATCAGATAATGGGTTGCTGTTATGTTCACGCGGGCTACATTGCTCAGTTTAAATTTCAAATGTGGTAGATGACTTCAGGTTTTAAGAGAGGTGCTTAGGCTCTTCAGTGTTTACGAGTAAAAGAGGCCCCAGAGCCAAAATGTTTGGGAACAGGCTTCCTGAGCAGAGTTTGCTTTTCACAGCCTCCCACATGCTGGGGGTCTCAGAATTTGGGTTCAGTGACTGGGTCTTTTTTCTGGTCAGAATTGCCTTTGTGTTCCTGGGGGATTCTTACCTGCCCTCAACACTGCACATTTGCCAACTCCTGCTGTAAACTCTGCAATGTGAGATTTTTATGATACTTTCAAAACTATTAAGAATTGTCTGGTTAAGATAATAAATCTTAAGTTTTATATATATATATATTTTTTTTTTTAATTTATTTATTTGTACATACAGAACTGGGGTACAGGCCAGAGGCTCAGGGGCGGTGAGAGGCTTCACCAGAGACAGAGTGGGGAGCAGAACAGGCAGATCGATGAAGTACACTGCTGAGGGGAGCAGCGGGCGGGTTTGGAGAGTTCTGTCATGCATGTGGATCTCTTCCGGGGCAGGCGGGAATTGAACTCATGCGGAAGTGGCTTTAGCTTCACAGTGATACATACAGAAATGGGGTACAGGCCAGAGATGCAGGGGTGGTGAGAAACAGAGTGGGGAGCAGAACAGGCCAATTGACGATGTCCACTGCTGAGGGGAGCAGCGGGCGGGTCAGGAGAGGTCTACCACGCCATGTGGTCACCTCCAGGGCGGGGATCAAACTCATGCCGAAGTGGCTTTGTTTCTTAATGCTGTGCTTTAACCCGCTGTGCCACCAGGGAAGGCCCAATAGATCTTAAATTCTAACCACTTAAAAAATTTTTTTATTGTTTATAATAGAAACTAAAAATAGAAGCACATCATTCTTTTTATAAATTGGTACCTTTTGTTTGTTCTTGGGACCAGTTTATTTCTCGAAAGCATCACGGGAACCCCCTCCCCCCGGCCCCCCCAGCCCTGCCCTGAAGGCAAGCCCCTGCGTGGGGACACTGAGCCTGAAGTCGCAAACTAATTACATAGAGAAAGCTGTTGATGACATGCGTTCACTTGAATCGTAATGCCTGTTGTTTTATTAGCTATAAAGGTTTACTTTTGATAATAAGTAGAGAAAAAGAGCTCAAGTAATACCCTGACTTCAACCAAACCATTTCTTTTCGCAGTTAAGCAAAACTGGCTGTAAAGATGACGAGTAGCACTGGCCTGGTGGCATCGGGACGAGGAAGGTGCGTCCTCTCGGAAGTAAACTGGCTTCAAAATCTTCCACTACTCTTTCTGGTATCAAGGTGACTTTTTATAAAACAACTTTTTGTATGTTTCTTACGTAAAACCTGTTATCAGCTGTCTGTTCATGAAGAGATCTGGAGTATTAAATCATTTTCACAAACTTGCCTTAATAAAAGGTGATGCTGTTGCTGTTTAGTATACTTTATAAACCTGCTGGGCTTCGTTAAGTGTGAAAATGCAGGGACGACAGATAATCAGTGTTAACTTAGGATCCTGGTCAGGTAGGCGTGTTTCTGTCAAGTGCGAAGCTTTCCAGGCTCTCGGCCTGTGGCGCGCACGCTTGTCTGGTCCTCGTGGTCTCTCTGCGTCGCTGAAGCATAAATCGCTTCAGAGAAACTGAAGTCCTGGGGAGCACACAGGTCATACAGAGTCCTCCTGGGGGCTCCTTTTTATTTTTCAAAGGTGAACTGCATCTCTGGAATAAATCAGCAGTTGTTTACACTTGAGAGCTTTCGGTGGTACAGGGGAGAGGAGAATGTGAACATTGATTTGCCAAATACATTAGGAAGCATTTTGAGTAGAGAGGCTGGTTCTTACTTAAAAACTTCTCTGTTGCAAATACCAAGGTGGGAGTAAAAGATGCCTTAATATTTAATTTTTGTAGTGTTGAGACAACAGCTTCAATAAATTCCTGTGGGCCCGCTGTTGTGTTTATTGTTTGGTAACTGAGGTCTTCTGAGTGGTTTAAAACCACATCGCAGCTGTTGTTTTTTAAGCGTCTTTTCAAGTATCCACGTGTGTTCCTCAGCCTGGCCCTCTCTGCAAGGCTGGATTGAGAGGTCAGATGCTGAATTGCGGTACATGCCTGATATTTTTATCATTAATAGAGGAAGCGTTAGTGCAGCTTCACCGGGCCGCTGCTGCGCTGGTGTGTGGCTCGCAGTGATTCTGTCGATGCGCCCGGCTCTGGAGACGCGTCAGACTGCTGCCGTGGGAGCCGGAAGGGCGAGTGCTGGCTTCCTCTGCTTACCCTGTGCTCGACGGGGCTGAGGTTTTAGAGTCTGAGATGTCTCCCTGGTGTTTGCTGACTAGCACTGACTTGGGTCTTTAAGTGTAATCACAATGAAGAGCTATAATGACATTTTCAAAAGCTGTGTCACGTTTTATTCCTTGAGTTAATCCAGTAGAGAAAAACGTGACAATCCAGGACCACTGGAGCGTGCCAACTTTGTGTGTGTGGCTTTGTTGTGCTGATTTGTTTGCTTGTTTTGTAAAGAAGCTGAAACTGCTACAGCTGTTGGCAGAAAATATCTCACTTCGTGCTGATGATTTTGAAGTTATTCAGGCCGATCAGTTCATAGATTACAAAGATGGATGCTAGTTAAATGCCAATGACTATTTCTACTTTTTATATGGAATGTGCCCGTCGGGCTGCTGCCTGTGAGTGAGGTGGGGGTCACGGCACCACTCGGACCTTCTTGTCAATCTGCCATCATCTGTTTAACCTCCCGGCATATTTTATAAGTCTGTTTACTTCAACTTGTATGGAAATAATCATTAATAAGCAATAAAAGCTGAACTGTACAAAATGATTTTTCTGTATGTTTTATTTCAAATCACGTGAGAGTTTTTTATTTTACAAATCTGAACAAACCTAGTGTACAAGTACACCCTCCAACCAGGAACTCCAAACGATTAGGTTAAAAGTTACATCAGGCCCTCCCTGGTGGCGCAGCGGGTTACAGCACTGCACTGAGAAGCTAAAGCTGCTTCCTCATAAGTTCGATTCCCGCCGGCCCCGGAGGTGACCACAGGGTGTGGCAGACCCCTCCTGACCTGCCCGCTGCTCCACTCAGCTGTGGACTTTGTCCACCTGCCTGTTCTGTTCCCCACTCCGTCTCTGGTGAGGCCTCTCGCCGCCCCTGCACCTCTGGCCTGCATGCATAAATAAATAAATCTTTAAAATAAATAAAGTGGTAGCAGGCAGACACCTGACGTGATCACGAAGGGCTCTGGAAGAACGGCCTGCAAGCCTGCCCTCTGGGCCACAGGGCAGCGACCACACTCCCTGCCCCCAAGAGGGCATCGCCAGAACCTGCTGGAGAGGTGAGAGTCTGTCAAAATATCAACAAGGCGTGAAATGATGCTTTGTTTTTAAAAAATAAATGAAGTTCTGATAACTATCAAAAAAAGAGAGAAAACCCGGAGACAGGTCCTGACTTGCTACTGTCACTTCAGGGAGGGGCGGGCCGTCAGCTTGTAGCCGGGACTGAACATTTGAACGCCCTCTCGGGTGACGGGTCAGGAAGACGCAGGGCCCGAGCGTCGCGGCTCGGCTCCCGCCCAGTGTTGCCTGGAAGCAGCCCAGTGGTGCAGCGCCGGATACTAAAGACGAGTCAGATTCAGTGTGGGCTTGGCTGAACTGTCAGCGCTGGCAATTGAAATACTTTAAAAAGCAGGCCAGTGGGCTGGTGCCAAGAACCTGGAGCCGCACACTGAGCCCAGCATCGTCTGAGACTGCCCGGTGGGGCAACAGGGAACCTCCCAGCTGACTGCCAGAAGGCAGCCGGCCTCCCCCTAATGTGCGCCAGGGGCCAGGAGCTAGAAGCAGGGTTCTACGGCAAAGGGGAACAGCGCCGGGGGAATCTATTGGCCCCACTGTCCAGGACCCCAGACTCCCAGGGATCGACCTGCATGATTCAAGAATCAGTGACCCTCTCTGGGGCTGTCCCAGGCCTCTGCTCACAGTGGGAGTTCTTTGCTTCTAAGGAGCGCTTTTATTTATATAGGATTTGATAATGAGTCAGGGGTGGTTTTGCTTATAATTACAGTCGCTGGTAAATCTTAAGGAGAAAACAAGGATTTGGGTGGTCAGCGGCTAGAAAATCCCTCTGGTTTGGCAGTGGTAGGTGACGGTGTGGTCCAGGAAGAGAGAACCACATGCCTTCAACAAACTCAGGGTGCGCGCACGACCTAGGAGTAGCAGGGACCCCAAAGTAGTAAGGAGTGCCCTCTAACGAGATCTAGCCATCCATGTGCAGAGCAATGGAAGGAGAATCTGATTCGTGTGAATGATCTTTTGTTAGCATGAATCGCGCGAGAGAAGGAGGATAATCCAAGAAGACGCTGAAAATGCCCCAAGCCCTTGCAGCACGCGCCTCGCCAGGTAGGGTCACTCCGCAGGGAGACCGCGAGGCCAGTCTGAGGCACCATCTGCAAGGGCCAAGGGCCCGGGTGGGCCGGGCAGAAGGAGCGATGCCAAGCCACGTCTGTCTCCCCACGTCTCAGCCACGTGACCCTTGCAGGTCTCCTCACGTCTCCTCCAAACGCTCCTCCGAGCCTCCTTCCCGCACCGCCCAGGGGTGCTGGCTGCGGGAGCGAGACCTCGCGTACAAAGGCCTGCCGCCAGCTCCGCCTGGCCCCAGCAGCTCCCCACTCGGGAAGTCCGGCCGTGGCTGTGGGGCCAGGAGCCCAGGGCAGGCTCACTACGGACTCGGGGGCACAGGTGGAGTCCTGGAGCCCGCGGCGGGCTTCTCGGCTTAAACCTCGGCACTGGGCAGTTGCACAGGCACGCTGGGCAGCAAGGCTGGCAGGCAGGCAGCTTCTCAGCCCGCCACGAACCGTCACGCCCCTTCTCTGGCTCGCTGATGTCCTCTCCACCCCCGCCCGCCACTCGTCTACTGGTCTCACCTTTCCTGTAGCCACGCCGCCGGTCCGCTCTGCCCGCTGGTGACCGCCTTCCGTCTCTGCCCCCGCCCTTGGCCTGCCTCTGGGCGCAGGTGCTCACACTTTCACAGGCACACGCGCCCAGGCCCAGGTGTCCACAGTGAGGCACACTGCCCCGTGCCCGACCCCGGCACCTGCCGCATTAACACGATCAAGGCCGCCGGTGCTAGGCACAGAGGCACGGGGCGTGCAGAGCCCGGTCAGCTCGCTCACCGGCGGCAGCCCACCGGGACCCGCAGGCCAAGGAGGCCGCGCGGCCCCAATGCTGCTCTGCAGTGCTCCCCCTCTCATGGGGGGCGCACCTTTGTTTGGGGACCCCAGCTCTGGGGCTTCAGACAGCCAGGCCCATCTCATCCAGAGCTGATGGGCTGGCTTCGTGACTGTCATCACAGCTACATTTCTTTACTCGGCCTCTTGCAGGTGCATAGTGCCAACCTGCTGTTTCCATCAGTCTTATCCCCCACGTGACGACAGGGGAAAGGCGACCACACCCCACTTCAACAGCTGTGACCACACCCCTGACTCCCCGTCAGTGTTTCCTGCCCTCACCCAGCTCCTCTGCAGCATCACCCCTGAGTGTGCCTGACTGGATGGGGTCATGCAGAAACGGCAGGGAAGATACTCAGGTTTGCTAGAAACTTCCCTGGTGATATATTTCCATGTGTTAATTAAAAATTCTAACAGCGTAATGTGAACTTACATTCATGTTCAAGAAATGTTTTTCTAGAGCAAACTGCACAGGCGATCCTAAGGCAGAGATAAGTGACCTCTCCCCTCGCCCTCTCGCCTTTTCCAGAAGCAGGACAGGCCCCCTGCCACCCCACTCTGGCGGGGGGCAGGCTGGCTGGACGCAGCTGTAGACTCCACGCTGTTCTCCGGAACACAGCTGTGCTTGGCCCATCTCTAAAAGTGGGGGGAAGGTGCGGCCGGCGCCTGCTGCCAACACGCTGTGCGGTAGAGGGTGGAAAGGAGGGAGAGCAGTCTAGAAGGCAGGGCCGCCTGGGCTGGAGGTGCAGTTAGTCCACAGAGGATCTGTGGCAGGTGACGTGTAAACAAACGGCAAAGGAGCAACAGGACTTGGAAACACAGAAACAGACCAAAATGTAGTTGGGGATCAAGGGAACGAAACCCTCTGACAGCTTGCAGCTCTACAGGGATTGCAGTAACCCCAAAACGGGCATCCAGATGCTTAAACCTCCCACAAGAAATAGTCATGGAATGAAAATGATTTAATTCCCACCTTGAAGTCAGGTCTGCAGAAAATTTGTAAGAATAGCACGAAGGGGCCTCCCTGGGGGCGCCACAGGTTCACGCACCGCGTCGGGGAGCTCTCCGCAGCGCCTGCAGCGCCAGCCCCATCCCCGCCGGGGAGCTGACCCCGGCCCGCAGCCCTCTCCTGACCGCCCGCTGCTCCCCGCAGCAGTGGACTTTGCCAGTCTGCCTGTCCTGCCCCCCACTCTGTCTCTGGTGAAGCCTCTCACCCACCACACCTCTGGCCTGTCCCCCAGTTCTGCAAGCACAAATGAATCTTTTCTTAAAATAGCACAGAGAAGCCCCGTAGACTTGGCATCCACATTCCGCAAAGGTTGCGTTTGGCATAGTTCACAGTACACACTTCAGCAGTCTCGCTTCCCCTCCCACGCAGTCTCTTTCTTTTCACACACACACGCACGCACACACGCACCGTCGCACATCACGCACAAGGGTCTCGCGCACACGTGTTCACACATAGCGCACACATGCACATACGTACATACACACATTCCTGGGCTGTTGCAAGCATTGTGCCCTTTCCTCCTAATCCTCCAGTAAACACTTCCAAGGACCGATCATTCCGCAATGCAACCACAGTGCAGTGATCAAAATCAGGAAATGAACAATGAAACAGCACTGTCGTCTGAGTTTGCAGATCTCTCCAGATTTCACCGGGAGTCTCGTGTTCTTATAACCAAAGAAAACCCCCCCGTCCGGAGGCCAGTCTAGGGTCAGGCGCGCTTGCTCTCCCGGCTCTCTGCTCTCTAACCTGGAACACGCCTCCGTCTGTCTCGCAGACCCTGACATTCTCCAGCGGCGGGCCAGGTGTCTGCAGAATGCCCCCAGTTTGGGCTTGCCCGGAGTCTCCTGATGGCCAGACCCGCCCAGGGGCCCGCGGGCACCTCTGGGAGGCAGGGCTGTGTCCTCAGCGTCAGGCCCACGCGACAACTCCCCTCCCCTTTCCTGGTGACGCCAGCGCTGAGGGCTCCCCGCTGTTCAGGATCAGTAAGTACCTCGAGGCCGACGGGCGGCGTCCGGGGCGACTGGGCCTGAGACGGCAGGGTGCTGCCTTCTCCACAGAAGGCCGGATGCCCTGACCTGACCCCGGCTACCGCTGTTCTGCACAGTGAGCCTCGGATTCGAGCCAGCAATTCTGGCTCCGGGCCTTCACCCCTGTAGCTCCCCACCAGGCACCCTCCATTCCGGTGCCTGCTCCTGTACCCCCTTATCCACTGCACTGCCGGGGCTTCAAAGCCCTGATGTTGGCCATTGTTACTACTTTAAACAAGTTCGCCCTGAGTCTCCCCGTGCTTCCCGTGGGGCTGATGCTTTCCCCGTGGGGCCCCGGGCTTTGTGTGGTATCAGCTGTGCAGTGTTTGTCTTCAGGCGGCAAACCGGGTGTCACTGCCACCATGCTGCCTGACTCCTCCGAATCAGCGTTCACCCACCAGGTTCTATTGCTGCTCTTCCTTGAGACCGCCCAGACTATGGAGATCGTCATGGGGATGTTCTGCTTCTGTCAGTCCTTGGCATTCTGTGCTCTGGTCACAAAGAACCCCCCACTCTCCTCCACATGCCGACTTAACACAGTGTGGATCC